CTCCTTCCCTCTCTCTCTCTCTCTCTCTCTCTCTCTCTCTCTCTCTTTGATACATCCTTAAAAAGGAAGTCTTCCTGATCTTATGTTACTTTCCTTTTTTTCTCTGATTGTTTGTCTTATTGGGCAAAACGAGCTTATGGTATTTCACTACTAAATAGTTCGTTTGTGCTTATATGTCTGTCAGTGTACATTTGCTGGTGCAGGTGTGTGTACACCCACGCTTGTACATGTGAGTACAGGTATCTTTGGAGGTCAGAAGGTGACATTAGATTTCTTTGAGGTGGGATTACAGGTGGTTGTCAGTTGCCTGATGATGTAGGTACTGGGATTGAACCTGAGTCCTTTGCAAAGTAGTACATGCTCTTAATTGCTGAGCCATCTCTCCAAACCCAGGAGCTTAAACTTCAGACTAATGTTGAAGACACCAACTGCATGACAGTTATTTTTACCATGGTATCTGTTATGAGTGGAATATATAACTTGATTTCCATTTGCAGTAGTGTAAAAGTTGCATTTTTCTTGATGGTGAATTTAAGAATCCAGATGTGTGTTAAAAAGTTACTTTGTCAGATATGGTGGCATATAATTGTAATTTCAACCCTTGGGAGACTGAGGCAGGAGAATTGCTATGAGTCTGAGGATCTCCAGCATTATATAGCAAGACTTTGTCTCACAAAACGAATATATAAAGCCAGCTATTTTTGTCCGCACAAGAAGACTTGTTAATTTTAGTGTTTTATAGTTGGAGGGCAATTAGTTTTATTTTGTTATTGTTTTGGTTGGATTTAGGGGAATGGAGTGCAATTGAGCTGAATATCTCATTTTCAATTTAGTGACTCCAGAATCCATAGTAGTAGCAGGTAGTGAAATACTAGTTCCCCTCTGAAATCACAGAACTAAAAAACAAGAGTCTGAAACTACATTTCTTTTTCCTTAGTTAAAAACAATAAGAGCCTCTGTCTGTACTGGCAACATGGGACCCTTGTGTATTTGTGTGTCTAGAGTTCTTTGTCCTGGGAGATGGCCTACAGAATAGGGGTAGCTGAGGAGTTTGGAATGACAGACATTGCTTTCCTCAGTAAGTTTTCCCCCTGCTTAACTGAATTCAGATATAAAATAAATGGTCAGTTTATACTGTGAACGTATTGGAGCTAGAGCTGTGTGCTGTAGGATGTTTGAAAATAGTCCTTCAGTTTAGAGACTGTCCGTTAGCTAGAACAGTGAGACTCCGGGGACTTGTGCCGTCCTCCTTGTTTTATAAACCATTGCAGATTTATATAATTTGTAGAAGAGGTGTGAAAATGATATTTCTATGTCAGATTAAATTTAGTAAGAGTTTCCTGGACTCTCTGGGAAGGGTAAGATGTAAGCTTTATTCAGACTTTTCAGAAAGAACTTTAGCGGGTCTTGAGGGGAAGTGATTGGGAAGCTTCTTGGTCACAGAGGCACTGTGTGATGTTTTCCCATCTTGCTTTGTCAGAGCACTGAGTGCAGTCTTTGGTCTCTCCTGATCCTTGGTAGACTGTGGCTTTCCAGGGGAGGGAGGGAGGGAGAGAGGCTCTGCAGACACAGTCAGGGTTTTTGACCTAAGCAGTCACGTGTTTACATTCTTGGACATAAGCATAGTATTTTCCCTGTTTTTCCCCATTAAATTGTTCAGAAGATCAAAGTGGTAAAAACATAAAATTCGACATTTTGCTGCTGATGCTGTATTCGACATGGTTTTACTTAACATTTGGAGAGTGATTGCCTTTGACATCAATTCAAGAAAATTATAGTTTTGCTAATGTAGTCAGTTTTTGTAACGGTAATTAGCAAATAAAAGGATCCTTATTGTTCAAAACAAGACAACACAAAACCCAGTTTCTCAAATGTTAGAAGAAAAACTATTTACAAATTTAATTAAAATATAAATACAACTCATAGTTCAAGATAGACACAAAATTGACCATTTTTTTTTCTTCTTCTTCTTCCTCATAACTCATAGTAGCGGATCTTGGCCTGGGGATAGACTCTGCATCATATTTCCTTCCTGTTTCTTTGACTAAAGGAAAGCTCAGAAGCTGTTTTGGAAAGTTGGCTTTGTCCAGGCATGGCTTACTGAGCACAGGATTGCTTTTTATTTCCTCCTTAATGTACAGACAGGTTAAGGCATTGTGGCCTGTGAGAACTTGTGTGTCCAGATGGGGGCAAATTTTGGGTCTCTTCAGGGACTCAGGAGGTTTTTTTTTTCCTCCTTGATACAGTATAAAGATGTTGTATTATAAAAGTGGCACAAAGGAGTCAAACCATCCAACAGAGCCCCCGTGGGAGGAAAAAGAAGTGGCAGAGAAGGGACAGAGATGGGTCCCTGGGGAAGAGAGCGAGGAAAGAGAGAGAGCGAGACGGGAGGTGTACAAGGCCCGCCTTTTATAAGGAAACATAGCAGATGCTCACAGGGGTGCTCTTAGTGTCTGCAGCAGAGGTATATCCTGTCTGGACCCTAAGAGCAGGTCAGTGCAGATGCCTGAATGCTGACAAAAGATAATGGAGGTTTGGATGAATGCCCTTTATTTTTAGATACAATGCGAACATTCATTATTTCATTATTAGGAAACGTAGGTTGATTTTACTAAGGTTTATGAAGACTAATTAAGTTGAGGATTAAGTAATAGGAGTGATATGAGGCTTCATCATAAGACCCCAATTTCTCCCTCCCTCCCTCCCTTCCTCCTTCCCTCCCTTTCTCCCTCCCTCCCAGTCATGTTTGTATGTACAGCAAGTACATACTGATTGAGTGACCTCCCCTAACCCATAAACCCAAAATTTAAATGATTTTTGCTTCTAAAATGATACTGGGCTGAGTTTCCTTGTAAAACATTCAGTTTCCTGACAGGTGGTTCTTCTGTTACAGCCCACTGGTATTGTAATGTAGCAAGGAAACTTGTTTTCATTCTTTAAAAACACAAGATTCATTGTCTGTGATAATATTTTAAAGGATTGGAATATGGAGTAAGGAAAACAAAGCACAATTTTAACATGATACTTTGTATCATTTGTATGTATTCTAACTAAAAATTTTCAACTGGAAGAAGTAGACAGAACAGGTTTTTTGCTTCTTTTTTTTTCCCCCCGAGACAGGATTTCTCTGTATAGTTTTGGTGCCTGTCCTGGATCTCGCTCTGTAGCCCAGGTTGGCCTCAAACTCACAGAGATCCACCTGGCTCTGACTCCAGAGTGCTGGGATTAAAGGCGTGCGCCACCAACGCCCGGCCACTTTTTGTTTCTTAAAACAAATGTTATTAGTTGGGTTGTGGTGGTGCACACCTTTAATCCCAGCACTCAGGAGGCAGAGGCAGGTAAATCTTTGAGTTCAAGGTGAGTCAAGGCCAGCCTGGTCTATAGGAGTTCCAAGACAGCCAGAGCAACATAGAGAAACCCTGTCTCAAAAAAAAAAAAAAAAAAAAGACCACAAACAATCAAACAGATGTTACTTCTGTCCAATTCTGGCTTATCTTATTAATGAAAACAGCAAAACAAAACCGTAAAATTAGAAGGGAATAGGTAAATGGTTTCAAGATTGATCATTATAAAGGAGTCTTTCTGTTAAATACCAAGCAGGGCTCAAATTACCACCATCCAAGCCGGGCGTTGGTGGCGCACGCCTTTAATCCCAGCACTCGGGAGGCAGAGCCAGGCGGATCTCTGTGAGTTCGAGGCCAGCCTGGGCTACCAAGTGAGCTCCAGGAAAGGCGCAAAGCTACACAGAGAAACCCTGTCTCGAAAAAACCAAAAAAAAAAAAAAAAAAAAAAAAAAATTACCACCATCCATCAAAATGGCTTTAGATGTTTGTTCCCAGAGTAATTAAGTTGCTACTAGAGACCCCTCACCCTTAAAAACTGGAACTGTTGGAGACCTGGAATGTCAGCTATAGACAGGAGAGAGAGTGATGGAGAAGTATTGTATTTAGAGAGAAGTAAGATGCCCTGAAGAAGCCAGACTCTTGTATCTCTGAAGGTAACCTGCTGCTGTGAGACCTGTACTCACCTTTTCAAGGCCTCGCCACCTTCCCTTAGGCCCCTCCCTGAAAGGTTCACCACCACCTCTTAATACTTCTACAGTGGGGACCAGCTTCCAGCACAGGCACTTCTGTACTAATAGGTCATTTCCAAACTGTGGCAGTCACAAATACAGTAGATGAACGGGTAAACAGCACAGTGTCTTCTTCAGTCACAGTGAGTCAGCTGTGCCACAGAGTGAGAGACAGCGCTGCCGCTGGGCAGAGGATGAAATGGACACAGGATGAGCGGTGGTACTGAGTCAGGCCCCGTTAGCTGGAGAAGAGAGAATAGAGTAATAGCTGTGGGTTCTGGTAGACACATGCAGGTACTCAGAGAGGAAGCAGATACAGAGGAAGCAGGTCTGTGGGGCAAGATTTTGCTGACTGTATGGGCTGTGATTTTGTTAGGCAAGCTAGGGACAGCTTTTAGATGGCTGAAAGGAGAGAGGGGCAGGAAAGGGGGGTAGTGTTCGGCTTAGTCTAAGGGTCCTTCACAGAGTCTTCCTAGAGCCTATGTGGACAGCACTGAGATGCGCCGTGCTGTACGCTGATTCAGAATAATTCAGAAGAAAGCAAGAAAACTTACAGTACACTGATTTTCTAATTTAGAGGAGAAATCTAGAAACATGTCAGTGTAGTGTCCTATTGTACACATGTGTGTTCTGTAATCTTTAATTTTTAAATTTTTTTCTTTTATGTCATATATCAGTGTTTAAATTTTTTAAAATGTTTTTACATAAACAAACTGTTGATAGGGGCTGTATACACATGCTTCAGTTGGTGGTTTGTGTGTGTGTGTGTGTGTGTGTGTGTATGTGTGTTTATGTTTCCGTGTTTCCTTTTTTCCTTTCTTCCTCTTCCTTATTCTCTCTCCTCCCTCCCTGACTGCCTGCCTTCTTGTTTGTCTGTTTTTTTTTTTTTTT